GGCAGGCAAAGTTCGAGTTGAATTCCACCGACTAATCCAGGGGTGGGGTGGGGTGGGGAAAAATATAAGTCCTGCGGAGAAATCTCAAGTGGATCCGAAAATTACGTTCAGATATTATAACTAGTGAGATGCCAGTTGCAAATGTAAAGGGGCATTTCGTAATCCCCATCTCGAACTACGGTCTCCAGCAAACAATTCCACTGATCCACTGCACACACTCGCGCAAATATAAACCTAATTACTATTCTCACTCACTCACTCATGAGCTGAGCCCTTCTTGAAGAGCCGCCAAATCTGCAGCTACTCAAGAACTTCTCAACATTTTATGGAACCCGAAGGTTCATTTCAGTGTTCACAAGAGCCCTCCACTGGTCCCTATCCCGAGCCAGATCAATCCAATCTGTACCATCCCATACTGTCTCTCTAAGATCCATTTTAATATTGTCGACCCACCTACGCCTTGGTCTTCTCAGTGGTCTCTTTCATTCTGGCTTTCCCACCAATATCCTATATGCATTCCTCATCTCACCCATTCGTGCTACATGCCCTGCCCACCTCATCCTACGTGACTTCATAATTCTAATTATACTTGGAGAAGGGTACAAGTTATGAAGCTCCTTATTATGCAGTTTTCTCCAACCTCCTGTCACTTCATCTCTCTTCGGTCCAAATAGTCTCCTCAGCACCCTGTTCTCAAACACCCTCAGTCTATGTTCCTCCTTAATGTCAGAGACCAAGTTTCACACCCATACAGAACCACAGACAAAATTACATTTTATATATTCCAATTTTTATGCAGAAAGAAGAAAAGTAAAGGTACCCCTGTAACAGGCCGTGAGAGGCTTGTAGCCTTAACCAACTACGCTACCGCGTGCACAAGAATTTGAGGTCGTCAGCCTAACGCGCTGATCGCCCTTTATCCCCAGGAAAATTCCTGATACTCATTTCTGTTAGACACTGAGTCGGTTCCAGGGCCACAGTGCGGTTACAAGGGTTAGGTCAATTGAAAAATCAAATGACCTCTTTGGGTCAATGTGGGTTCATTTGGTGTACCTGTTTATCTTTTTACATTATTTTACTGTATTTTGTACTATTCTTTGAAATTCTTGGGTAGGATCTGTTTTTAGCTCGGTGATGTTATTATTTTTGATAAAAGATTTGACTTCATCACTCAGGTCTTGTTTGTAAATAATGATAATGACCAAATTTTTCCTTTTGTCGGCTTCTGCTATGGTTGCTTTGTGTTGTATTAGTTTTTCTTGTATTTGTTTGGTCGTGCATGTTTGTTCTTTGTATTCTTTGTTTATTATGTTTTGTTTTGACGCGATTTGCTGTATGTTTATTGTCGCTAAGTATCTAATAGCTTCTTCTTGATTAATGTTTTTACCTGTCTTACCGTGTTTTCTGTTTTGTATACTGTTTTATACTCATCTACCTATATGGGAAATTACATATGAAAAATCACAAAACTATTCAAAAACACTAACATAAAGATGGCCTTCAAAACAACTCACACAATAGGTAAACTAATAAATGAAAAACGAGACACAAACCCCTATGAACAAAACGGGAAATACAAAATAACCTGCCAGAGCTGCCATAAAGTATACATCGGCCAAACTGGTAAAAATCTAACAACAAGGTACAAGAAACACATAAGAAATATGACTAAACAAAGACGATTCGTCATTTGCCCGACATATACTAAACAAACGCGACCAGTATGGACCGATGACAGTAATCATGGAAATGGTTGAGAACGCCATGAAAGGGATCATCATGAATATAAAAGAAAACTTCCATTATATATCGCTTTAATAAGCTCAACAATTGATAGAAGAACAAAAACACACAAAGGAAAGTAATAACCAGAATAACATGTTCAACCTCATAATACAACATCAGTACACGCCCCACTAACATCATAGACACATGGAGGTACAACACACCCTAAAACAGTAAAAACAACACAGCGCGCCACGAACACCCTCAGGACATCAAAGGTAGGACAAAACAACAAAACCTCTTTAAAAGTAATAGGGTTGCTGAAATAATACAATATACTTATATAATATTTTCAGAACCTTCTTAAGAACGACAGGCGGCACACGTTCGGCTCCTGACAAGAGAAGCAATAAGAATGGGGACACGAACCCACTTGGTTTAAAAATTCTAACAAAATCTTAACAAACCAATTACAAAAATTTTAATGTATTAAGACAACCACTGTAGTTGTAAAAACTTTAGATTTTATATCCAAACGTATATTATCAGCATGTATATTTTAAGGCTCGGAACATGTATTGTAATAGTAGCTTCCAACTGTATTGATGTCCTTCTGATGATGATCTCTAGGGATCGATATATGTAAGGGCATGAAGAATTGAAATCAGAAAAATCTTCACCAGTCACACTGGATGGAACTGTTTAACTTTTTATAATTTACCTATTTTATTTACCTTTGCTCTTCTACGCTTCATTACTTCCCCCTGACTGCCCTCTAAATCAGCCCCCATTAGTACTTTACCCTTTGTCTCAGTCACGGTGTCCTTAAAATTGCCTTTGAAAAGCGCCATTCCTTCCTAAATCGTCTATTTTCTGACTTCCATGAATAGGGGCTGGACAAATTTATGAAAACACTACAGCCTCTGGCAGGCTTTCATACAATTCCTCTTGAAGAACATCTTCAAATTGCTTTAGAGATGTTGGAGGTGGGACGCTGCCCCTCACGCTAGTCTCCAAAAGTGAGCACAGTGGTTCAAGGATGTTCAAATCTGGTGATTGTGCTGGCCTGGGAAGATGTTCACCTTCATGCTCTTCAAACCATGACTGAACAGTTCCAGCTGTGTGAAGGGGGGCATTGCCGTTTTGAAAGACTGTCTCGTTTGGAAATAATGTCTGGACCATGGGTTGCACCTGATTACCCAACCTGTCCATGCACTCCCTTGCAGTAATTCGGCCATGAAGGATAACAATGGGACCAGCAGAACACTGTACCGCGGCACTGCTGCCCAAACCGTCATAAAACCTACCCCGTGTTTCACTGTTGGAACCCAATCAGGCATTCCGGATTGTGGGCTTCCTTGCATGTTCTCCAAACGTAAACTCTTCCTGATGTAGGGGACAGTGTGAAGGACAACTCATCTGACCATATCATACACACGATTCCAGTTGTCTGATATCCAGGTTTTATGGTTGTGACAAAACTAAGAGGGCGGCATGCCCAGTGGGACATGAAAACAGCTGCAATATATAAATAGGAAGAAAATCATTCTATAAAATCGACCAACCACATCAGAATTAAAAAATTAATAACAACAATGACATGACTTGATGAATACAATTTGCCCAAGTACACAGTGCAGTAGACTCCTTTAAAAGGATGTGTTGCCTGAAGATGGCCTTGTGTGACTGAAACATGTAGCATAAACACCAAAGGTACAGATATTTTAATAATTTTAATGACATTTTAAACATTTAACAAACATTTAGTGAATTAAATATTAATGTTAGATTAACATTGATGCATTACAGATGGAAAACAGGACTATACAAAATAAATACTGTTAAAAAATCACTTCAGAATCAAAGCAACCATGTTAGATTTAAGGTTCATGCAGTGGTAACTGTGAAGAGTACTATCTTCTGCAATAGTCTGGACCTGCATTCATCTTCAGGGTTGAAGAGTAAGCCAGCTTACTAATTACTTGGTTTACTTTTTAATTCTGAAGATGGAGGCAGTATGTTCACCAAATCATTGGTAAACTTTACCAGACTACATAGCATCTCATCCCAGAAGAATGTACTCTTCACAGCTACCATGAGGCCACTCGAAGGCACGGTTTACATAACAGCTTCGGTGCATATTCAATATGTGATACTCATGACCAAAGGCTATGGTTGTTCGATTATGATAACAGGAAGAAAATGTGAATATCAATTGTTGTTATGACTGTGATCTTAAATTGATGAATTAATGCTAGAAGATTGGCCTGCCATAGCTCAAGTGGTTAGTTGCTGGCTTCCCATTGTGGCAGCCTGGGCTCGATCCCGGGTCTCGTCAAGTGGGATTTGTGGTGGACAAAATAGCGCTGGGGCAGGTTTTTCTCCGAGTACTTCGGTTTCCCCTGCCAATCTTCATTCCACCAAATTCTCCATCATCATAATCACCTGGGGGCAGGCTACAATAGGCCAATCAGTGGCCGCTGTGACGAGTGGACCCAGTTGGACTCCACCCCCCACTAAACAAGTTAAAAAAACAAATGCTAGAAGGTATAAAATTTCTCATACTAATTTGTGTTATTGTGCTAAACTGAAATTCACTAAGCACACTGCTTAAATTGTGCTATGCTCAGGCCAGAGAAGATATTCACTACACTGAGATTCCACTTTATGTTATTGTACACAAATTCAGAAAGATCATGGCCAGAGTAGGCTCATGAGCCAGCTTTCCTTAACCTCTTCTGTAACATAAAATGGGAGTACTAAGCTCCCAACTCTAACAGTTTACTTCAGTTTCTGAAATCTTGTATGTCCAAATTCATGAAATTTTATATGCATATGCAGCACAATTGTTTTTCTTCTAAAAATATATTTATCAGTACTCGCGCATTTTGTTATAAAATTAAAGGCTGAAACATGTACCAGCATAAGTATGAATTTTGGTTTGAGGACTTTGCCATTATGTATAAACTGTCAGACAGTATGCATACCGGCTGAACGACTGCATATGTCCATGCAAATGAAAAACTAACCAAATAAGATGTGATGATACTGTTACCTACCAACCTTGACATTTTGTTGTTCCTGTCCTTTGAAATCCTTGTTAATGATAAAAATGGATCTTGTATCAATTAACTCCTCATGCTGATACATATTTAAAGTACAATAATATAATATAATTTAATTTAATAATAACAACAATCGCAGGATAGGGACAAGAGGGCTCTTTTGAACACGGTAATGAACCTTCAGATTCCATAAAATGCTGGAAAATTCTTGAGTAGCTGCATAATTGGCGGCTCCTCAAGAAGGGCTCAGCTCCGTGAGTAAGTACGTAATAACAACAATAATGTATAAGTAATGAAAATGGACTTCATGAGGATGATACCAGGATACACCCTGTAGGACAAAAAAGAAATGAAAAAATTATAAAAAAGTAAAAATTCCTTAAATATCAAAATTTAAAAAACAATACAGAAGAAACAGGAAAGAACATGCTGATAAGATTAGCTCTTGTAAGATATATAAGAAAAATAAAACATCAGCAGAATTTATTTTCCATTAAAAAACTTTGTAAAATGTGCCACCTTAAATGGTCACTTGGATTACATGTGCTTCGCGCCGCCCTTGTCAGTAGTTGTCAGGTTGAGGGAAGTGGTCTTTATAAAAGATATTCCACGCAATGGCTCCTAACATCAGAACAAGGTAGAGGATTATACTGGCCCACCAGATCTTCTTCTCCCAGGGCTTAACATACACGTTCCTGAGTATGTTGAGACCCAACAACAGTCCAGCCAGTGCTCCAGCAATATGGGCAGCATACCCTATACACTGCAATAAGAACCATGGTTTAGAAGGAAATTCACATCCCTATTTAAGAACAGTGTTTTACTGACATTGTGCATCAGATGACTACAATTTTGTCTGCTGGTCTGTATGGTTGTGAAACTTAGTATCTCACATTAAGTGAAGAACATACACTGAGGTTGAGGGTAGAACAGGACAGTGAGGAGTATAGCTGGACCCATGATGGACAATGAAACAGGAGGTTGGAGCAAACTTTAAAATGTGGAGCTCCTTAATTTATATTTCTCAAAAGATAATATTAGGGTGATCAAATCAAGGTGAATGAGTTGGATGGGGCATGTAGCATACATGGGAGGGAAGACAACTATATGAAGTTTAGGTAGAAAATACTGAAGGAAAGGGACTTTAAGTAGGTAGACTTAGGTATAGATGGGAAGACACTAAACTGGATCTTAAATATAGAATGAGAGAATGCGGACTGGGTTCATCTGGTTCGGCACAAGGACCAGTGATGGGTTCTTGTGAATACAGTAATGAAACTTTGGGTTCCATAAAATCATGTTACTTTCTGAACCAGTTGAGCAACTATTAGATTCTGAAGGACACCATCAAGGGGTTAATTATGTAATTATGTAAGGTCATCTTTACAGTTTAAAAATTTGTTTAAAAAACTTGACAAACTAAAATTTTTAAAAGCCAAAATAATTTGAATTTTAAACACACACCGAATTCCTCTGATCTGCAAAGTAGTAGTCATAAACTGTTGATCCAACATCAGCGGCAATTATAAACATGAAAATTGTCAGCTGATATATAGCAAACTTCATCTCTGACCAGTTCTGAAATTTAAGATTACCATCATGTTAGGCCAGTGCAAAGAAGTTCTCTGGACGTTGTGTCCATTGTCTGGAGTTAAGCATATGGATACATCATAAAATTTTAAGGTGAAGATGTAAGCACTATACTTGCAATATTAATTTTCTCAAATTTATATGCAATTTTCTCAGCAACTATAAGATCAGCATCTATGAAATTTGGCACATGCATGCTTGAAGGTTATCTGCATATGCTGACTTTCTATTTCATCCTATACTTGTACACATGTTTTAATAAATTTTTTCTAAAAGAACATGTCTCAATATATGAAGTAAATTGGAAAGGTGTGGAAGAAACTGCTTATTGCCTTTCTTGAAGGTACAACTGATGTAATATGATTTTATAATGCAGAACAGCTCTGTGAAGAACTGGGAAACAATTTTTAAAGTATAAATCAAAATTAAGAGAAAAAATTGAAAATAAAGTATAAATCTTTGTATAAAAATTTGCAAATCTTATGTTATAATATGCAACACTATGTTCTTTGCTGATACAAACGAAGTTAATTCCATCCATTTATCATAAAACTGTGTTAGATAGAGCATTTTTAAACACAATGCTTAAAATTGTCTAAGCGCCCTAACAGGATTGGACATTTAAACGCAGAGTAGCAACGGGCATTTAAATAAACTCCGGCCAGCTCAAGCTTACCATCATTTCAAAAGTCCGGGTTTTAAGGTTAATAGTTTAGACACTGATGATATTAGCTCTCTGATAAATGGCCTGATGTGACCTTTGCATAAGGTATCTTTTTTTAATTTGTATAGAAGGTGTAATGATGAAATGTTCTCACCATGATTATAGATGCAATGTGGGCAAAGAGGATTGCATACACTCCTCCTGATGCTCCAGCCAGGCGAGTATAAGGATCAGTGACTGAGGTACCAAGGGAGCCTGCCACTACACCAGCTATGTACACAATTAGCACTCGCCACCAATGCTGCACCATCTCTAGTGGCACACCAAGCATTAACTGTACAAGTAGGTTCACCACAAGATGCAAAACCCTGCAAAAATTTGCAAAAATGTGACATTAACATTTTTTAAAACTTTCAAAATCTGAAATACTGTATATCTGCAATAGGATTTTTATTTTAATTTACACTATATAACCTGTTTTCTTCCTACTGCAAACATAGTGCCCCAGTACTTTTCCTGAAGCCATGTGCCTTCCAAAATCTCCCTATAGGATATATGACTGGGGGCAGTCTACACAACAATATTTCCTAAAAATCAAAACAGATACTACTGTATCAACATTTGTTTATTGACTGTTGACACTACATGTTTCAGCCCTCATGTTGGGTCATCAGGCCTATAATAATACAAGCATTAGTTCTTGAATTGCATCTTAATTCAATATGGATCCACATTTTGTTCTTGTAAGTTTTATATACATAATTTGAAATTTCAGTTAAAGAATAAAATTTAAAATTAAAATTATGATTAAAACTGTACAAAAATATTTGTAACATTTATTATAAACCTCTTTAAAACTTTGTGACTGCTACATTATTAATACTGTATATTGTTCCAGGTGGTAGGAATAATTATGTTGTGGGATGTCCGTATGTCGAGATCTTCCTTCATAAATCAGGTCATGTTGGTTTAACCTTTGTAATGTCATAGGAAGCTTATGCTCATTATACTGTGTATAACAACATAACAACATCATCACAGGGAACTGCCTTTATATATAATATCAAGAAAGCCTAGAATACATCACTCCAAGTATAAACAACCCTATGAATGATACACAGTATAACAAACTTTTACAAGAAGTTTCACAAAACCAGGCAGCACACCCACATACCTTCCTTAGCAAATCTGTTTCAAAAGCCAAGAGATTTGAGACTGACTGTGGACATTAAGATTGCAGTCTTCTGGGTGTGTGACACAGTGCAGTCAGGTAGAAAAATACAGATATTTTGAACAAATCTGTTGTTTCCATCCTCACGGTAAAAGATGGGGGTAGCCACATATCTATAGATTACATGGCATCACATCTCAAAAGATGGTAATCATTATGCGCTTACTCACCGAAAGGAGATATATCTAACTTGCATCTTTGGGGTGTGTATCAACTGACCTGTTTCTGTGCTTCTAGCAACGTTTCTGGTTTATATTCTCTATGGAAAAGAAGTCTCTGACCTTATCTACCTTTCCATAATCGTTCCTTTTTAATTTCTTGCTGGCTCTTCCTCTGTGCTTGCTCTCACACAGTATCCAGTGGAACCATTCTTTTCTGGGTTGCACCATAGGTTTCTTCCATTTAAATTTCTGAGAATTTCCATTCAATCTATTCCTTTTACATGGCCAAACCTTTGTAATCATTTTTCTTATAACTCAACTAACAAATTCTGAATTCCACCTTCTATATAAATACCATTTCTAATTTTATCCTTTGTTTTCCCCTTTCAAAAATCTCGTATTTTTCCATGTTTGGAGTTTTGCTTTTATTATCGACTATCTAGACTTTGAATATTCATGTTCTACTTCAGGATCTCTGAATGGATATGAGGTAAGTACCTTGAAATATAATTTGTCAGTTTCCTTCCATAAACTTTTTGATTCACCATTGATAGTCATTTTACCATAAATTATTCAGTGCCATATAACCCCAGAAGTTGAGACAGCATGGTCAAAGTAGCAAAATAAATATAAATAAAAGGCTTACCCAACATGTACAAACATGTAGGTGAAGAATCTCCAAGCTTCAAATCTTCTGTAAGGGGTGTACAAAAGCTTTGTTGCAATAGGACCATCTGCCATCACTGTGTCTGCATTGATCACATCTGTCACGAATGTGGCAATCTGCATGTTGAAATATACACCACTGAGTGCCCCGTGTTATAGAAGTAACTTCAGTTTAATAACAAGATTGTAAAACATACAGTGTACACTTAAAATGTGGATCTGGCACAAGGAATTTTAAATGGCATAAACGACAGGGTCCAGACCAGCTCTGGGGGCCCACCCAGCTTTCATTTCAAATAGGTGCCAGGGTTTCTGTCCCTGGGGGGTACAGTGGCCAGGGCATGAAGCTGACCACTCACCCCCACCTTGTGCTGAGGTCAAGAATGATGGAGCTATGCCTCCACTCCCTCATGTGTCTTCATGGCATTGTGCTTAATTAATCGATTAAGCACAGGGACAACTTTAAATGTTTATACCCTTGCTGAAGTATTTACTGCAATGAGCTAAAATCTTTTAAGTATTTAATAAAAAAAAATTTAAAAGTATTTAATGCTCTTACATATAATCATACTCTAAATAAATATATATTTATGTAAACAGTAAAATTGTACATATGCTTAATTAATTGAGCACTATGCCATGAAGATAAACAGGGGGGATTGGAGGTGTAGCTCCATCATTCTTGACATCAGTGCTAAATGGAGGTGAGTGGTGGACCTATAAATTCAGGTAGGAGGAACCTTTTTGTTTAATCATTATTAAGAATAACGGATTTCGATGATTTTCAGATGTGTATGGAAAATCACTGTCGATTGTTCAGCAATCTTTGTGGGTTCAGAAGACCATAGCAGATTGTTTGGTAATTTTCGCGTGTGTTTTCAGGACCACTGTTGATGGCTGAATATATAAATTAGGAAAATATAGTGTAGCATAACACGTATTGCTTAATTATCTCAAAAACTGTAAGACTTTCAGGGAAAGTGTATGGGACACAAAATGCAAGTTACTTTTTTCTCTACAACTTTTGTTGAAGAAATTTTTCATTCCAAAAAACAAGTATTTAAGGAGTTACACTCATGACAGACACAGAAACATATGTATGTTTTCAAGTAGTGTCCATTCCTGGAGGACATCTGGAGATAAAAGAGCTGGCAAGAAATCTGGAAGGACGGTGGAGGTGGTGGTGGTGGTGGTGGTGGTGGCGGGGACAGTACAGTTTATTTTTGTGCTGAACTCAACAGCCAATGACCAATTACAGAGCCAGCACATATACAAACAACAGCAATATGACAACACAGGGCAAAAAGAAAATAATAAACAATAAAACGAAGAAAAATGAATCAGTTTAGGTTTTTAACACTCAAAACATGAGTTCCTAAAAATATCTGTAAGTTTACAACTTACATTTGCGGTTAAAACACATTTATCTGAAGGGCAGTGACTCGAAGAGCAAGTGAACATGCTGAAGTTATGAATGTAATAATAACAAAAACAAAAATACAGGAAGGTTATAATTTTATAATATAATTTCTGTAGTTTTTTCTACCTCTATGATGCTGATAATGAACATCCCAAGTGGAGGAGGCCAGCATCTATAGTGACTCTCATAATATACCAATCTGCCTGAAGTCTCATCACCAGTGTCAGTAACATCAATACTAACAGGACGTGCAGGTACTAGAAATTTCACATACTGGTCTACAGCATTCTGGAGGGTGATACGCCATTCTGGACTTTGTACCTGTGGCAGAAAACATGAGGAAATACTGTATATGTATAGTGTAAAACTTCTGGAACATTCATTCTTTCCTGCTTCAATATCCTGAAAATAGCAGGACTAATGGAGAAAGTGTACTGGACATGAAATGTGTTTTATTTTTGTGTACAACTTTTGTTTGAAATGTGTTTCTCTCAAATAAATATTTAGTAACCCACGCTTACGATACTTGCAGAGGTGCAGGTAGGTTTTCATGTAAAGGGTTTGTTACAATTTCTCATTTATATGCAAATTGATATGGCGTGACAATTTTTCATAAAATTCTCTAATATGTGATCTTGTAAAATTCCATTAGTCACTATTGGGTTGCTCCATGCATAAAACAGATGGAGTAAATTTAACATATCAATAAATGAAATTAAATCACAGGAAAAAAGGAGAAAGATGTTTGGGAAGGCTTCTGAAACAATGGAAATATTCTTATTTTGTAATAATAAGATGTCTCAATAGATCTAACAGCAAAAATGATGATGATGATGGTTCTAGAATTACTCTTACCATCTCCTTGAACTCTGTATAATCCAAATATCCATTCTGATCTATATCTGCTCGCCTCAATATCCGCTGCACTGCAACTTCAGGCAAGTCTTGTGAATAACCCTCTGATGTAATTAGGTTACGTAGTTCACACAAAGAGATATGCCCATTTCCATTAACATCGTACCTCTCAAACAGATCACGAAGATCCTGTAATGGAGATAAACCTTCTTAGGACTAAGTCTATGGACCAGAGTTATTCTTGAGAAGTTGACAGTCGCTCAGCTGGCCAGAACATTCCTCACCATTTATGGCAGTAATTCTGAACGTTTTTTACCTTTGGTCCCAGTATCATTTAGTCAAAAGAACCACAGTGCCACTATAAGCTTCTCTGTTCTCAAGAACTATATTTTTACAACTACACAATTTTAGTTTCATATTAAGCATTCGAGTTCACTTACATACGCTGTGCAGTGCGGACGTGTTTACCAAGCGCTCCCGGTACCACGTATAAACAGTGAAACCAATATTCATCGAACGATAGCGAGTGAATTACAGTGCCCAGTGTTAAATACAAAGAATCTGCAATACAAGTTACAACTTCTAGAGTCAAATTGCAACAACCAAACCAAAGCAGAAGAAGTCTAAAAAAGACAAAACATGCTACCAGCAAACAATGGACCAGGAAGGAACAACTCCCTAACAAGCCAATTTGTAAGTACCCAGTTGCAACCAACACTGATCAGTCAAGCAACTCCGCAATCATACATTCCAAATCACATACAAAACCAACAAATCCCACCTACCACATGCAACTTCCCTAACAGTCCCCAACCGACTACAAGCAACTCTATGGTATTACCAAACTATCAAAACCAATTCTGTACCACAATCACCACCACTGACGAAGCAATAGATGAGGACATAACTGAAAATATCAACTCAACATCATGGCAAATTGCAAGAGGAACCAAACGCAGGAAAATAAACAAAGCCACTCAGAACAATAACCCCTCAGAAACAACAGTGACCATACACAACAGATACGATCTCTTACCAAATGAAGAAACAAACGAAGCAGAAACACAAGACGGGAATCCACACAAAAGGATCCCCAGACCTCCTCCAATATTTGTATATGATGTCATCAACTATCCCCAAATGATAAACCACCTAGCAGAAGTAGCAGAAGAGGAGAGTTATAGCACTAGATCAATGGCCAACAACATAATCAAAATAAATTGCAACACCCCGGAAACGTACAGGAAGATGATAAGACTCATGAAAGAAAACAACATCGTTTATCATTCATATCAACCAAAAGACGAAAGGACTTATAGAATAGTCATAAAACACCTCCACCACACTGTAGAGCTAAAAGACATAGCTGCTGAGCTAGCTGACCTTGGACATAAGGTGAGAAACATAATAAATGCAAAACATCGGCAAACAAAAGAACCTCTCAATCTCTTCTTCGTAGATCTGGAACCAGCAGAAAACAATAAGGAAGTATACAAGATAAGAAGTCTACAAAACAAAATTATAGAAATAGAACCGCCCAACAAACCCAAACACATGATCCAGTGTACAAGATGCCAGTTATATGGCCACTCCAAAACATATTGCAATAGGCCCTACCTGTGCGTCAAATGTGGCGGACAACACAACACAACAACGTGCAAAAAGAGTAAGGATACCCCCGCAACATGTGGCCTCTGTGGGGGACCACATCCTGCAAGCTACAAGGGCTGCGAATATTATCGTAACCTAACCAAAAACAGATACGACAACCAAAAAACACAAATACCAAAAGTCAACTATACCCCAGTACCAGACTTCCAACCTATTACCACGCCACCTAACTCACAACCAATACAACCTCCAAGTTTCAGAAGAACGTATGCAGATGCAGCAAGAGGTAGAAGTGGCGACAGCAACAACGAAGAAAACAACAACAACAACAACAACAACAACAACAACAACAACAACCAGGACATAAATCTAAATAAATTTTTAGAAGAATTCAAGCAGATGTTCAACCAACTCATCCAACAAAACAGCTTAATACTTAACATGCTAACCACGCTAATAAGTAAACTGAAATAATATCTGGGTTTCTGAGAGTAGCTCTCTGGAACGCAAATGGACTCAGCCAGCACAAAGAAGAAGTAATCCTGTTCCTCAAAGAACAACATATAGACATACTACTCATCAGTGAAACGCACTTCACAACAGAAAACTTCATAAAATTCCATACTACAATGTGTATTATACTAATCACCCAGATGGAACCGCACATGGTGGCACTGCCATCCTTATAAAGCAAACAATCGACCATTATCAACTCCAGAAGTACGAAGAAAATCATTTACAAGCCACCTCAATAAAAGTTAGAACATTACCGTATGAAATAACTATATCGGCGGTATATTGCCCCCCTAGACACAACTTAAAAAACGAACACTTCGAGCAATTCTTCGGTACACTAGGTCAGAGGTTCTTAGCCGGAGGTGACTACAACTGCAAAAATATCCAATGGGGTTCAAGGCTAACGACTACGAAAGGAAAAGAACTCGAGAAATATATGCAGGAAAACAACTGTAAATACATCTCAAGTGGAACACCCACATACTGGCCAACCGACCCAGCAAAAACTCCAGACCTGCTGGACTTTTTCGTAGTAAAAGGAATTTCACTAGCATACACGGACATAGTTCCTAGCTTCGAACTATCTTCAGATCATACCCCTATTATAATGACCATAAGCTCAACAGTGATTCAAAGACATACCACTCCACGTTTACACAACTATAACACCAACTGGAATAAATATAGAGAAGAAATTACTCATAACATAAACCTACAAATAAGGCTGAAGGATCCCGAAAGCCTAGAGCTGGCCATTGACACATTAACAAAAGTCATGCAACAATCCGCTATCCAATCTACCCCACTGCTGAATCCACAGAAATGCACCTACAACATTCCTTTAGAAATCAAACAACTCCTGAACAAAAAAAGAAAGGCAAGAGCGATTTGGCAACGAACCCACAACCCAAGAGATAAAACCATATATAACCAGCTAACCAACAAACTAAAAGCTAAATTGAAGGAAATGAGAGAAGCATCCTTTGCAGATTATATCCATAACCTTAATAGATACGACTACTCAATATGGAAGCCCATTAGAAACACAAGAAAACCAATAGAACCCTCGCCGCCAATACGAGACGCAAC